GTTCGTGATTCGACCCGAAGTAAAATAAAAAAAAAAATAATATAATCTCATGTACCTACATAATAAATACTCGGTGTTGTTGCAGTAAAGTTGTTGTGTGATGTATATAATAAAATGGATGCGGCGGGAATAAAACGATATGGCACAGTTTATGCTGCTGATACCGGGTAATAGGTATAAGTAGGTATACTCGTAAACGATTTAGTAGGTACTTCTTGTAATACATATTCTAATTTTCAATAATATTATATTAGGTATATCATTATTATGTCTTATGTGTGTACAACGGTGTACATAGTTTTTATCATATAAATACATTTATGTGTGTAAATATGCGTTGCGCTACGAGACTATAATATTATTAGAATAATATCGACGATCTGCTTTTGCGCGGGCTTCCCGCTGCGCGCGCAAGCTCCATTATTCACGGTGTACGCGCACGCTTTAATCCGTTATCAATTAATCGTATTAATTAGATTTGCCACCGAATCGTATGCGCCACCGACGTCCACGACAACAATATACCGATCGACAGCACACGGCGGCAGAAAAACAATAAGTACCTGTACATCATAATAGAATAATATAATCAGGCAGGCAGCCGTTGCCGCGGATTAGGCTGTAAGTACAACATTACAATAACTATCGATGTATGTGCAGTAATATCATATTAATATAACACGGGTAGTGGGTACATTATATCGTACACCTAAGAGGAGTTATATTTTTTGTATTCCTATCATCTAGCTCCTCCTTGAGCCCCGCTGAAGCGAAGTACATATTTTCGTGTATTATACAATATATCATATTATTATGAGTGTGAGAAAGATGCCGTTCTGGAGTAAAAGCTTTTTGCGCCTATTCGACCCGGATTGTCGTTCCTTAATATATTATTACGTTTTTCTTCCCAAGTAGTGCTAAAACTGACGAGATCTGTAATATTCATATCCACTCGGACTAATCGGAATGCAAATAGCTATATTATGATATATATAGCGGCACACCTATACGTCGGCAATATTATATTTCAGACGACCGTGAAAATCGTCGTCTTTCGACTTTAGTTGTTGCGTACCAGCTCTGGTAGCTGTAGCATACCAAGCAGCGGACAACGCCATGATTGCGATGACTGTCGAAATCGCGATCATCGCGTATGAATACGTGCGTTTATGTGTGTGTCCGCTTTTAACCTGCGGACAATGACTTAACGATCACTCTTGCATGTGCGAACGCTATGTATATAATATAATATCGACCCGAGTATGACGTGGCGATGATGCCGCGAAACTACGGAGTCGAATCGGTGAACACGATATTTTTTTTGTAAAACTGACCGCGGTACATGGGGGACTACTCGACGGTAATAATAAAAATATTTATTATTTAGATAATAATATAAACATAGTTAACGTAATAAAAATACGTAACGGCTCGTTTTGTGTAGAACACAATGTCGTCAAACGATACGATCATTTATATGTAATTCTATTATTATTATATTATGTGTAGCCGTGTAGGTACCTATCATAAGATATGACGACCCGTCTGCGAGAAGCAAAGAAATCATTTAACGTTATATACGCATGCACTTGATTTTTTTCTCATAATAATAATTATCATCGATCTAATGCTGTGCACGATTATACTGAACAATGTATTTTTTGACAGACATGGTTACTGTCGTATAAATGTCATGTTATAATATTGTACAGCAGTTCGGTTACCAAAAATATAAATCGTTTGTTGAGTGTGTAGAGTGTGATTAACATTAATACGACTACCTAGATGGCTAGGTATAAAATATAGACGGTTATAAAAAAAAAACATATCTAAAACATTTAACGTTAATTATGTTTCATTCACGTACGGCTGTTTAAGTCTCTGTCAGACAAAACGCATATTTTTTTCCTTACGCCGTTATGATTTTTTGGTGTGTCTGTATGACTGTTGTTCATAGGTATGGGTATCTCATATTCACATAGACATAGATGATAATATACTATATAATATTATATATATATATATATATATATATATATTAATATACTTCAAAGCAATACCACCTTATGTATAGACTATAGGTACCTATATCAAATGTATAATTATCTTTCTGACATTTATTTTCTCTTTATAGCCATAATAGCATAACACATCTTGCCAACAGGTCAAGTTCATTAAATCATCGCGCGCACACCGCCTGAGTTGAAGAATTCGGCTTCATAGTTTATACCATTATACCTTCATTATAAGTTAGGACCTAATGATTATGGGGTACCAATCTATCAATAATATAAATCATAAAACCAATATCATATTTCAACTACAATTTGTTTTTATTATACCCATCACTATCGTCTATCATACTTAATTAATGACCGACTAAATGAATACACGAAAATCTTATTAGTTCTTATTATTTCTCTAAGTACATTATTTGTTATATTATCGTAATCATATTGTGAATAACGAAGTATATATTAATGTGCATTCATCTATACATTTTTAAACAATGTGAAAACATATTACAAAATAATAATTGTTTGTTAGACGTTGAAAAATAAATAACAGTATTAAACTATACTGTACCTAAAATAAAATTATAAACTATTTAAACTTAAAATTTGAAATGTAATAAGTAATTTTAATTAATTTTAACTCAATTAAATATTTAATTTTAATAAAAAAATAACATTTTAAAACTACGTATATATTCTGATTTTTTAAGTATGGCAAAATAAATATATATTGTTTAGACTATGGAGTCCTACAGTATAAATTACTGATGTATATAAACTTAGATATTTCTATAATAGGCAGTAGACAATTACGGGCATACCTACTATTCAGAAAAAGAATTTCACTATAAGAAAGTACAAAGCCGTGAACGGTTTAACGATCAAACACTTTTTTACAAACATATATAGTAAGGAAATAAGTAAATATGACTCTATAATATTATAGTTATACTACTATAATCAATATCTTTATTGTATTTATTAATAAATATGTTAAAAAATAAATTTGGTTGAATACCTACCAGTTCGAATTATTTAAAACTTAATAAAAATGTATAAATAGTTTTATAGTCAGACAGTATATCACATAAAGGCTATAATTGACAATGACTTTTATCATAGAACTGAGTCCATCATGGTAGGGTTCGTGGACAGATTGTATCTAACCTGCCGACAAGAAATTATTATTATTCAAATAAAATAGGACAGGTATTAGCAAAACGTTTTAAGTGTTCAAACTACAAACCATTATGTACCATTTGACTGTTTGAGAGAACTTGTAAAAAATTTTTAATTATTTGAAAATATATGGTGTATCTGTATTTTGTAATTTTAAATTTACCTTATTAGTGATTTATTTGTGAGATATGATTATATGAAGAAATTATGATACAATGCTACGATACGTATTCCCTTTGTTATACACTATGCTGATATAATCTCTGTACCTTCAATCAAAATGTATTTTATCAATAAAAGAAACGCCTTAATCAATATAAATTATCATTTAATAATTATAATATAGTCATGCATGCGAACATCCGGTTATTGTAGAATATTTTATAAAAACGGTATATTATACATAATCGCATCGATGATACTTTGTTACATCAACACAGAATTCATTAAAATAACTTTTTAAACAGTTAGGTATAACACTTATAATTAATTTTCATAATACAGAAGTGATGTTGCATATTGTATCTTGTCATTACTTTTTGGTTATTAGTATAATATTTTAAAAAAATAATATTAATGAATTTTGAAAAATGTCACTTTCACATCCACGAACCATAAAAGTTATTATAAATCAATGATAAGTAATAATAAGTAAAAATATAAGAATATATCATAAAAATCGAAAGTAACGTTGAACGTCCTAAACATAGAATGTTGGATGAAAAAAATTTAATTTCCTATAAACTATGATATAAAATACAAAATATATTTTCATTTTTCATACTACAATGGGCACTTGTATTATAATATTATATATTATTTTTAGTGTATAGAGGTTACATATGACATTTTGAAAATAATGACTCTTGGCCTCTGGCTGGGCATTCGTTTGAATAATCCCACGGCCAAATAAAACATATTTTAGCTTGAGGGTTGGGCGAGACGTGTGTTAGACTCAACACAATAGTTTATTTTAAATCCCTGTGTAGGAGGGGACTTTTCTCTAACAAAAATATAACAACAGAAATGTACAGGTGTTTATAAGAATTATAAGTAATGTTTTTTTCTCTTTATAGAAAAATGTATTTTAATAGAGACTTCATTTATGATTATATATTTATATGCCAACAAAAAATGCAAACCATAAAAATGTATTCAGGTGTAAGGTAATATATTTTATACTTGACTTTGATGTTCAACTAAAAGGACTCTGACGATATTTTTACGAAAAAATTACTATAATCACAAATATAATGTTATCATATGGGTAGTCATAATGTACCGTGTAATTAGATATCATAACTTTGGTGCCGTTGACCCACATTTAAGCACAAAAGACTATTATCCACGGTTAGATTGACTTCAGATGTACACAATGAAATATTACGATTCTATGAAACTATATAAAGATATTAACCGTGTCCTAAGATTTTTAAAACCTCATATAGATTATCAAGTTAGGTACATATATACGTATATGTAGTTTAATAGAATGTGCACATTGGATAGTAATAACAATCTACGTATAAAATAACTTCATTGAAAGAAATTTTCTAACATTAATAAATAATATAAAATCAACAAACAATATTATTTAATAATACATTTATAAATAATTCATCGAATATCATCCGCTAATTCAGATTTGAGAAGGATTAAGGAGTTACATTATTTTTTTTATTCATTTGGTTTGAGTATTTTTACTTAAATTATCTCGATATAAATTATAAATATTTATTATTTATTTTTAAATTAAAAAAGACCTAAGGTTTAAAAGGAAAAATACAAAAAATATTTTTTTCTTACCTGTGTTTTTCTTAAGTGAGACTGTTTAATCCATCAAAACACCATATTCCCGCAGAGAAATATTAACACTTTCACTAGACCGACGGTACACTTAACTAGAATATTTCACAAAACTTTAAAAACTGAAAAATACTAAATAAGCACTAGCAAAAAGTAAAATGCAATAATATAAATGTGTATAGGTAATGGTTAGTATAAACGATACCGGTATTGCGACACCTTACTCGGAGCCGTCCAACCGACACGGGTTATTGTACTTAACTACCTAGAAAGAAGAAACCTGTTGGCCAAGACAGGCAGGTGCGCCCCTACCACTACGGTGCGCAGGTAAAACGGACAAATTGTGGCGAGTGTTCCTTCCTAAATAACGAAAATCATGTTGATAGTAATAATAATAATAATAATGATACACATCATTATAAAATAATAATTAAAGGTAAAATACTAAAGATAATGTAAGATTTGTAAATACATTTGTAATTGTTTTATTTGTTTATAACTATTAAGGTCAGTAATCACTCTGATTTATCTATAATAAATTGAATAGTATATAACCTATAGAGAAGTACATTTTTATAATATTATAATGTAAACCTTTTTATTTTGTATTACGTTTATATATTACTACAATACAATTTATTAATTACAATAATAAGTAATGGGTAATATTATTATCCCTAAGAGGTATAGAATTTTTAACAAATTAATTAACAGATGAAGTTAAAACATAATAATATATGCATAGTGTATCCATTTCATGCACAACATACCTATTATTATATTAGGCCATTAGGGTAGATAATATATATACTACATAAATATGAAAAACTATGTATAAAGTGTATATTAATCTGCAGGATGTAAATATTTATTTTTGTCTAAAACTTAAGTGTAATTCAAACGTGTATAAAAATATTAAAAAATTATTGCTTTATACTTATTATTTTTATTTAATACTACAGAATCCACTTTTAAAATTAGCAAAAATGCTGAATAACTGTTTAGTGTGAATAGGATTAAACGCTGAAGTACAAATTTAGATATATTTAAAGCAATTACACTTTAAGCAATGTAAACATTGATTAAACGATGTATTTTAAATAGGTAGGTATGCAAGTCTAAATATATTTGAATATACTTTAATATTTTTACTAAATTGGTCTTGAAATTCTGATTTCAAATGCTATGAAAATTGATACATTGCAGTTACGAGTATGAAATACATAAAGTATACAAAATAAATATAATATGAGAGTACATGTAACTATACTAAAGATGAATAATTGACTTTACTGTGATTCCATATAGGCAGATAAGTAGCGAATTCCTATCTGTGTATACTGTATATAACAAATTTAGCTTTAATGAGCTTCAACATTTTTTTTTAGCTTATGAAAAACAGATCATAGGGAAATAAACTTTTATTAAAGTTTTTTGTGATTTTGTGCGGTGTAATGTTTATATCTGTCATCAGACGTCAATAGTTTATATGATCTAGTTGGTGCTTAGGGGAGGTCAAAAGTAAAAAATTCGCTGCAGTTTTCAAAATAAACAGAAAGTTGTTCGTAAATTAGTTTCAGCTAAAATAAATGTTGTTTTTTTACTGTAGCGATTAAAGGTAGAAACATGCATTTTTCACCAAATAATTGTGTTAGCATTTTATAAGCACGACATTGTTTTCAAAATATTATAGCTCTTTTTGTACTATTTATAGACATAACAAAATTTCAATCTTCATATAGTAAACATTTTTGTTTGTGAATAAAAAAGCTTAAAAATGTAATACATGGTTTCTCACGAGTTGCTTTTTTGTCAATTGAATAATATAAAAATACTGTAATTTTTTTTTATTAGCGCTAAAAGTTAAATTTTACAAAAATTGTCAGACTCACGAAAATATGTTACTTAATTTGTATTTAAACATGGTTAATTTAAACACCAAAGACTTGGGAAAGTGGGTACTATTCTGCAGTACATCAGTGGAAAGAAATCCTGAAATTCCTAAGGAAATTAAAATGTAGATTTTCCATAGTTCATAAATCATAACCATCATATCAAGCCTGAGAGTTTCGAATATGTCGTCAGTTTATTATTAAGTTATGTTTAATATTATATCTATGCACACAAATAAACTATAGAATTTCTAAAACATAAGCTATAATAAGTATTAAGTACTTAATAACTATGAGTAATAAATTAACTCAATTAAGTTTATGTAGTAAGTAAAATAAATAAATGTATAAAAATTATAGATGGCAATGAAACATATTATTTTGAGATGAAAAATAATATAATTCATATATAATGATAATTAATTAATATTCAGTAATAATTATAAGAATATATTATTTTATATAATAAGCTAATTAAGCAATAATAGCATAACTGTAGTATTCAAATTTATTTACATTTATTTTTACCTTGATTTGGAAGTAATTTTTCATTATTAGGGTTAACGCAGATTAGTACCTAATTAAAATTGTAAAGTATATATACCTAAGTTAAAAAATTATTTGTAAATGTATTTTTAATGTAATCATAAGTTTCATAAAAATATTTTAAAAACGTATAGACATAAGATATGACTCATCAAATTTTAATAATCCCACGTAAATTCTTATCTGTATTATTATTAGTAGCATTTTTTCTATGAGTAAAAATAATATTAAAAAATTGAAGACAAACAATTGAAGGGGCAAATTTACAGCGTAATTTGTGTCTTTTAACAGTTAACATTTATTTTTTTGAAAAGAATACAATTTTCAAATTTCATATTGCTGTACTCGTTAAAGTTATAATATTCTCAATTATAAACTTTATGTATTTTTGTTTTAGATCATGTTTCAACCATATACGGCATCCTACAGTTGAATGAACCGTCTAACCACAATATTCTTTTAGGACTCATATATGGACAATTATGGTTAATAGAGTTGTCAATATTAAAGTCATAAAATTGATACTTCTCATAATATTTATAGTTGTATATTTTGTTAATATTAGTTGTAACTTGTATACTACTAGTAGGTACTACAATTCAGTGTTTTTACTTCTTATAAGGTTAGATAAACCATCTACTTAGTACTTATAACGTGCATAATTATATTATAAATACAATTATACTTATTTATATTATATAAGGTATTTTGAAGTTATTTGAAAAATCGTAAACACATTTAAATTTTAAGTATTTTATAAATTAAAAAAGTATATTGAGCATACAATAATTATTGTAACTGAATAAAATATTATTCAGTTAGGAAAGTATTTTAATTTTTAACGAATAACGAATCAGGTAAGAATTAATATGACTAAGATTCGACAAATAGTTTATATCAAGCATTATTCAAATTTACTACGCCACACAAATTCTTAGAATACCTACTTAAGAACTAGGTATGTATTTATTTTTCTGCTTTCATTAAGGGAATTTATTTTTAATAGATTACTCATACATTTTTATATAAGGTACTTGCTGACAAATTATGGGTTATGTGATTTGAGATAAAATACATGAAACTAACCTACTTATGTTAATAAACTTACTGTATTATTGGCTTATATATATATGACATATTACTGCATAGGTGGATATTTGGTCAAATCTATGAGAATTTGATCCTTGCAACCCCCTCCCCCCCCAAAAAAAAAATCCACCAATGTATATTAGGTATAATTTGATTTTAGTTACATTAACATTCAAATAATTTTGTTAATTGTTCTGCTGTCATTCAACTACATGTTTTACTTTTATGACGATGAGTGCTTGGTATTATTAAATCGTTACATCCTGTTTGCGACTCAGGTCAAATAATTTTATCATACATTGTAATTATTTAATACAACTCAATATAAATAAAATCAATTAACATAAATGTGGCTATAATATGTCAATTGTTTTTTCGACTCATAAGAACGCCTTAAAATTCCTCTCTTTCGTTATCCAGGAAAAATTCGTAAAATTCAAAATCTCAATCTTCTACTAAATCGATTTGAATTCCCTAACTATTTCGATAATCTAAGCTATATTATTTTACTCGTCACGATTCCATAATAATAAAATTATAATTGTGTGGGAAAAATATTTTTATAATATTACAATATTATTTTTATGATTTAAATAATAAAGAACTTATAACTGCAAGTCAGAATTATTCAGCAGGTGGTTTGAAATCGGACAATGTAAAAATGAGGGAAAATGAATTTTAATATTAAGCCACCCAGACATTTGTATGTCCTTGACAATGGTGACTAATCAAAACGGAATTGGGGGTGGAGATGGTGGGGAAATCAGCATGACGTTGGCCTGCAAAGACGGTGAACATTGACTTTCACCAGATGCAAAAAAAATGCTTCTATGACGAACGTGGAGGCCTGTATTTTTTCTCCACCTTCTTATTGCCGAGACTGAGTAATCCGGTATTGATTTTCACTTCCTATTATAAACATACAGTCGTCGCTGTCGGTCTGACGACTATTTGATTTGAAACAGCCTCCGTCATACAAAAAAAAACCTATCCGGTTTCGACTTATTTTCATCGAAAGATGACACTGCCATTTATAGACTCACTACCTAAATGCAGCCGTGCAGGGGTGGTTTTTGTTGATTATTTTCTTAGGGTGCGGTGTGGTAATAACATAGAGACACGCACAAGGATTAAAGGGTGGGTTTATTATTATCACATTCTATACTTGGTGTTTTTTTTCTTGAAAAGTGGTTCCCGCGTGCACCGTTTGTATTATATATGTGTCTGGAATGTGGTGTGGGCTTGAAGGTCGACTACAAACCTTTTGGCCCCATAGGTACACACGCATACACAGACGTTAAGACCTCGTTTCGTACAGGCAAACTTGACGAGTTGCCGCTGGTGGTGTGTATAAGTGTAAGAGACATACACACATACATGCCAGCATCACGAGTTTAGGTAGGTACCTCAACTGTCGTGATGGCTTATCTACATTATACATAAGTATCACATTACATTTCGACAATTTTCTACACCCTTATCATTTGAAAAATGTTATTATTGACAAAGATGAACAGTATAGGTACCCAAAATTATGTACCTACATATATTGCAGTGTACTTGTTGTTGGATTATAAGTAATTTTATTATTAGCGAGTTCACTAAATCATCTGAAAATTAAAATTCGTCGTAAATGCTACCTAGTATTATATTATTATTATATTACAGTCGAAGAGGACACTGGACGATAGGCAGGAAGAGCGTGTTGTATATGATGAATAGATCTAACTGTACAA